GATTCTTATTATCTCATAAATCAAATATTACATTCTTAAGCTATTACATCTATTTTTCCTACTCTCTTTTAGTGGTGGTCAATGACGGAATCCTCTCGGTTGTCACAGTTTAAGTCAATAATAAGGTTTTTGAATCTATTAAATGAGTTTCAAAGTAATAATAAAAAATAAGGAAGTACTTAAGTGAACTAAACTCATTATAAGTGCTCATTATCACCGTATGTCTGTCTAAGTGTCTCTACTCCATAGTTGGAATTGGAATCACCAAAGGAGTAATGTAATCATGGCGTATGATTAGATTAGAATGAGTCTAAGAACTTTATTCATGTTTAGAATTATCATCTTGATCATATTATAGACTTGTAATAAGTCATTAAAAGCTTAAGACATAAGGTGTTACTTGATGTCATTTGAGTGTACCTTCAAACTCTATTGACATTAAGTATTTAATCCATTATATCACTTTTTAGGTTCCCAAGAGATTAAAGTACAATGCCTTAAATAGACCCACCCACCATTAGCCTTTTACCTTTCTCTCCGTGTTTCACATCATCACATACCTCCTCCTTAAACCTTATCACCGACCACCTGAAACACCACCACCAACCGCATCGTCAACCACTTGCAACACCACAACATTTTCTTACCTAAAACACACTTACTTTCTTATCAAACAACCCTTCCTAACATCGTAAAAAGCAAACATGCCTCGCCATTCTCTGTAAATACATCGAAGAACTCTATTTCCGGAAACTGCCACATGTGAACTTTTTGAACAACGTCCTTTTTGGGTGCACTAATGTGACAGCCCAATATTTCAACTCTATGTAACGACCTAAAAAGTCAAGTATTGTAACCACTTTTGTTATAATGAAATTAACTTCAAAAAGATAAAATGTCCAAAAGTCTATAATTAATTTCCTACTATGTTAGATGTCATTAAACCGTTAACGTACGTAAAAAGAAAGCCCAAATCTGACTTCGTATAAGCAAGTTATGAATTTTCCAAGTTCGGCTTAGCAATAGACAGCTAAAAACTCGAAACGGAGATCGAGCGACTTTTGGCCAGAATGACCTGAATGAGAATCAAAGGTATCGACAATGGTTTTTCAACGGTAAAAAGTCTGGCAAAAACAGACGTCAGATAATGAAGTTATGAATTTCTAACGAAATTTTCTTACCGCGACCTTTTAAAAATAAATAATAAAAATAATTTCAAAATTTGCCGACGGAATCTAAACGAAAGTTGTAGAGCATAGTCTCACCTACGCATGGATATAAAGAACGTTGAAAACGGAGTTCGTATGAAGAAGATATGAATTTTTGAAGTAATTAAATAATAAAAATATAAATTTTATATTAAATTTCGGTATTATCCGAAGGAGGAGTCACCAGGCCGATCCGAGTTACGCCCAGTGTACTCGAGGCCTAAGCCTCGGATCGTCCACGTCGCCCCTATGCGAGGCTATGCCCCGTCCCATCCGAAGCTCCGAGGCAGTCTAGGAAGCGGTCACGCATAACGCACGCGTACGCCCAGCGTACCGAGGCGGTTCCCACCCCCTATAAAAGGGATGCGAGGGTTCCAAAGAAATGGCTCAATTTCTCTCAACTTTCTTTCGTTTTTGCCTCGTTTTCCGTGCACGTGCTATCCCGAAGCCCCGGTTTCCTTGCTCAAGTCCCGAAGGTCGTTTGTGCTCCCGAGAATCCCGAGAAAATCCGCTTTCTCGAGTCGAAATTCTGCTCGGTTTTCATCTCGCCTTCTTCGATCTTTCAAGTGAGTTCATACCTCTATAATCCACACTTTTAAATATTCTATAAATACTTTTATATGCTTTTAAGGGGGGGATACAAGTAAAACACATGATTATTACCGTGTGTTATATAAAGTTTCGTTATACACTTTTTATCAATGGAATCATATGTGATTTATAACTATTATAGGGAAACTTTCGTATGCAAAATATACCACGATAACATCTTATCTTTGAAATAAGAAATGATTTATGTTTATATGTAAATCAAACACTCTGCTTATACTGTATGTATATGTGTCTATCTTTGGCACTACAAAAATTATACTTTTCATAACAAGTGAGCATTTCACTAGGGATTACTATACAAACGAAACACACTTTTAGAAAACTATAATAGGTATAGTTTTACGAGAACATTACGAACTTTTACATACTAGAAATACTATTTCAAGAAGTTACTTTCATATACAAGAACAAACGAACATTTTCACACATAAATCTGTTTTATACTAAGTTTTGTGAGACATTAAACTTCACGTATGCTCGAGTACACATTTCAAGTCCTGTATTATATACCAGAATCCCTTGGAGGGGGAGCATGGTGTTTGTGTATAGATCTATACGGGATTGACAACCCCGCGCCCTGACTGTTAGCTACAGTACACCATTTGGGGTGACAAACGTTAGAACATTCCAACGCCTGAAGAACGTTGTATATAGGCATTTCTAGTCAAATAGCATGGTTATAAAACTTACATGGAGTATCAAAAACACATTGATTTAAGGGGTTTTTCAGACGTATTGGCAATTTTATACGTACATTAATTAACTACTTAAGGCATGAAAAACCTTATCGTGATACAATTTTGGAACTTCTAAACCACTACCCACATACGGAAAAACATACGTTTTCTAGAAACAAATATTGGTCTTACTAGAAGGCTACATTTATACTAGTAGAGGATATGTGATTTTCTAGGAACCAACAAACAAAAACAAACCATTTCGTTTTAATTCATGCAGATATTGTCATTTAATACTTATGAAACTCACCAGCTTATATGTTGATCTACTCTTTCAAAACTACTTGTATGTCCCAGGAATTCAGTAATTGCAAGTAACAAACAACTTTTGAAGAAGGGACGTTGCGGCGCTAGTTTAAATTCATATTTTGGCATCGTATTGTAATTGGTTTTGAACGTGTACCTTTTAAACAATGTAAACTTTCAATTATATATATGATGGTTATGTTGCTTTCTTTACTATGTATTCAATTGTTACGTTACCACATGAAGTCATCCACCCCTGAACATTTCCGTCGTTCCGATTTGGAGGTGTGACAACTAATCATATGTAATCCAGTTATTCAGTTTTATTAAATTTGAACATACATTATTCCTAATTGGTTTTGTCATTCTAAAATATTATTAGTTGAATAAACTTAATATCATTGGTGAATGTGACATAAAGTCAACCACCGCACTTCTACATGTCCCCCTTTGTCTTTTCCCCACTTCAATGTCCTTGAAGTCAAGCACCAAATCAACCATGATTATAACCCAAAGCAAGGAGATTGTCTAATAATTTCAAATTTCTCAAATGCCAAAAAGAAATTTTATGTAATTCAAGAACAGGGAGACATAAAAGTTGATTATTGATAGGTTGTTTCTTGGTTGTACATATACACCAAAATCGTCTATAGACGATAGTCATGGATATATGGTCAAATTGGGTGGCGTTGTTGTGTCTAATCAACAAAATCAAGTACACAAAAGCACATGTTACTTAATTTCAACCCAAAACGCATAAAGTTTCAAAAAACAAGTAAAAAAATCAACTAGAAATAAGCTTTGCTCAAGAGTGGCTCAAACGAAGAGAGCTTGTATGTGGTGGCTCATCAAACACTAACGACTATTTCGGGAGGTTTGTATAGATGATGAATGTTGGTTGGATGGACGACATGTTCAAACTTGTTAAATGGGGCAAGGGTGTGGGGTACATAAATTGTGTTGGGGTGGGGTCATCACACTGTACCACTAAGCTTTTTCTGATACGATAGCGACAACAATGTTTTACTTCACCTCTTTGCACAAACTCTGCCCTTGGATGGCGATGAAGAACCGACACACCTCTACGGACAACAAATGGTAAAATACCATAAAGGTTAAGTGACTTTAGACAAAGGGTTATATTTTATATATGTCGATGGTCGTTATGGATATGTGGAGGAAGGTGAGGAACACAAAAGATGGTGGTGGGAGATAAGGTGAACATATTAGAGCGGGCAATATGTTTTGGAGGAAAAGGTTCGGAAGAAAATAAATATAGATGGTTAATATATTTGAAAGGTATGGAACTTATACTATTAATAAATAAATAAACACAGAAAAGATGGATAAATTAGTAATTTTTATATTCTCTCTGTCCCAATATTATTATCCACAGATAAAAAAACACACAAATTAAGAAAAACATTAATTATCATTAACTTTATAGAATAAAATGACAGTTTTATCCTTACTTTGCATTTAATGTTTCATTAAATGTTTAATTGGTTAAGTAATAATGAAATGATATTTTAGTAAAAATGTTATTTATTTCTAGAATTAAACTATTATTTTGAGATAAACCGAAAAAGAAAGATGGATTATAATCTTGAAACCGAGAGAGTATGACTTAACATATTATAATTATTGGTGTTAAGTTTAAGAACCAAATTCATAATAAAACCTTAAAATAAACCCTCCTTGAACGTTTTTTTTTTCTTTTTTTTTTCAAAAATAAAACTATTTGGACTCGATTCAAAGAAAGCATAAACCACTTACATCATGTTTTTAGTTTTCCTTTACTTTTTACGGAACTAAAAGCAAAATTACGATTTTCAAATTTGTAATAATAGTTTACTTATAAATGGTTGCTAAAAGAAGTTATAAGCTGGTTATTGTTTACGTAAAAGGAAATACATAAATGATTAATAAAATAAGTTACTGTTTTATGCAGTTAATTTTACTACATCGAATCACACGAAACATATGTTTGTTTTTTTACGTAAAAATTCAAGTATCTGTCGCCGAGAATTTATATAATTATTTACCATATTTCTTTAGATATTTGGAAAACAATAATAATAATAATAATAATAATAATAATAATAATAATAATAATAGGTCCAAAGTAAGAATGATAGCTCAGAAACTGCCAAGTTATATATCTGACCGTTAAATCTCGACCCTTCCTTCCTTATCACCCACTCACCTCCTTCTCCTTCCCCTTTTCATCTCTCTCTATACCTCTTAATTTCATCTTTCAATCTCTCTAATGGTGCTCCACCTCCTGCCCTCTTTATATACACACTAAAAAACACTCACAAAACCCTAAAACACACACACACATACAAAACCCTAAAAAAACACAAACACAGAGATATAATACACAGCATTGGCTCTGTTTTTACTTCTGACTGATTGGGTACTTGTTAAACCTCTGATACTTATTGCTCTCTGCAAGCTTTTCTGGTAACCGTTTTTCATATTCATGGCCTTTTTTTTTTTTTTTTTTTCATTAACAACTCCTCGACATTTCCTAGCAAAAATCCATCAATTATTCTTCGTTATTTTAGCCAAAAATACAGTTTCTTTTTTGCTTGTGTTTAATCCGTTGCCTCTGTTTTTTGTTATTTGTAATTTGATACTTACTGGAGTGAAGAATCTTTAGCCATATACATAGCTTTCTTTGTCATTTCAGAATTCCATGACATTTTCTTGCAAAGACCCTTTCATAATCCAAAATTCGATGTTTTTTTCTTGTATTTAATTATTATTAAGTTCAAAATCTTTATTGGTTTCCGTCAGCTCTTTGCAAGCTGGATGGTGTTTTTGTCAATTTCATAAATCCATGACATTATCTTAAAAAGCCCCATAAATTGTTGTTCATAATCTTATTCAAATTCAAGGGGTACTTTTGTTTTTTCTTCCTGTACTTCTGTTTCGTACTGAGTTCAGTATCTCATTGGTTTCTGTTAATTCTTTACAACCTCGATGGTGTTTTCGTCACCCCCACGATTCCACGACATTTTCTTGAAATAACCCATAAACTATTCTTCATATATATATATATATATATATATATATATATATATATATATATATATATATATATATATATATATATATATTGTTTAATCCACAATCTTTCTTGCTCTATGCTTGTTGGCAACTCTCCGTGGTCATTTTTGTCATTTCACTATTCCATTACGTTTCTTGAAAAAACCCATCACTTATTCTTTATATTTTATATAGAGTTTCTCTTTGTTTTTTTATTTTAATTAATAACTAATATCTTAATATTCATAATCTTTATGGCTCTGTCGGTCTATCCTATCTTTCTGTAACTCTTTCTACCTTCCACGGTTATTTTGGTCATTCCACAATTCGATTACATCTTTGTTAAAATAACCCAACAATAATTATTCTTCACAATTAATTATTTATCTTTAATCTAATTCATATTGAAGTTACATCTTTATTGCTCTTTGGTAAATTTTGGCGACTGCCATCGCCTTTGTAGTTATTTCACAATTCCATGACATTTTTTTTGGAAACACTGTCAATTATTTTTCAATATTATCTAAAATTATTTATTTCACTATTTATATATTTATTATTTAATATTTAATACTTTATGTTGTAATTCAGTGTAAGAAAATTACTTGAAGCAAGAGCTTTCGAAAAATGGCGCCCAAGAATGGACGTGGGAAGACCAAGGGAGATAAGAAGAAGAAGGAAGAGAAGGGTATAATTTTATTATTTTTTAAGAACAATATTTTTTTATTAATAAATATATTCTACAATAATCAACGAAGAATGTCTACGTTTGCAGTTCTACCAGTTGTTGTGGATATAACTGTGAATCTTCCTGATGATACCCATGTTATATTGAAGGTTTGTACAATTACTTAGTATGATTTTTATAATTAAAAATACTACTATTTTTTAGTGTTTACATAACTTGAAAATCTTATCTGGAAATGAATAAATTGATGACAAAAAAGTTTTAACATTTTTTCAATTTGATTCATCTTTGATAGTTTATAATCACATGTCATGAAGCTCATAGGGCACATGTTATATAAACTAGTTTATTTGATATACTATTAATTAACTAACTCGTATTTGGCATTATCGCTTTCTTTACAGAAAAAAAAAAATCAAAGGGTAATTGCTTGATTTGTCCGTTATTATCTATATTATTTGCTTTATCTTTTTCTAAAACAAGGACTTGTATACATTTCATTTATATATATATATATATATATATATATATATATATATATATATATATATATATATATATATATATATATATATATATATATATATATATATATATATATATGGGAAAAGTGAATATACCCTTAAGGGTATATAAGCTTAGGTACCCAAACTCACCATACTACGTCGTTTTGTATCATATATATACATTGTAATTGTCTAATGTTCTTATAATTCAACTTCTAAGTTGATTTCATTCAAAGATTTTTATAAATTTCACATTTATTTTACTCTTACATAATTTTCATTTTCAACTATAATATATATAGCCTAATTGATGTTCGTCAAAAAGATGTGATGTAAGAGGAAGATAATAATGAAATTTTGAAAATCTTGAAAGTAAATCAAGTTAAGGATTGAAGTTGAAGAACATTATAATAAATATATCAAACAAAACGATGTATTATTGTGAGTTTGGGTACCTAAGCTTATATACCCTTAAGGCTATATTCACTTTTTCCTATATATATATATATATATATATATATATATATATATATATATATATATATATATATATATATATATATATATATATATATATATATATCATGGGCTAATTTTTATACATGTAAAAACGTACTAAAAAATAAGATAAAATCATGGAGATAGCTAGAATGTTAGATAAGATTTTGAAGGTTTATGACTTTCTTCTATATCATGTCAAAAATGTCATTACCAAATTGTTACACAATTGTCGGAACTATACGTGTCTATGTCAATAGAAACGTGTTACCTATATCGTCTGTCGAAAATTCAAATATATGCATTTTAGCAAACGCCACCTACAATTACAAACAAGAGATGTACAATAAAACACGTAAATACGGTCATTAGAAGTCGGGTATATCGTTTTCGGTATACTTTAAAACTCAACTATCTTTTTTTGGAATAATCCTATTCAATGGTACCATGCATTTTATGGATAAATATTAAGAAATCGACTCCATATGAAAGCTTGATGTGGGCCCAATAGATGAACTACAAGAATATTTTCAAAAAAAATAAAATAAAATATATGTATTCCTGTTGCATACTTTAAAACAATACAATGGTTTATTTGTTATTGCATTACTTCATTTTCAAACTGAAAACAATGAGTATATAATATTTTTCTTGTAATTATATTATATTATTTTGAGCAGGGAATATCGACAGATAGAGTTATAGATATTCGTCGACTATTATCCGTGAATACAGTAACATGCAACATCACAAATTTTTCGCTCTCTCACGAGGTACGACTTTTATAATTGTTTGTATCAATTTCTATTCACATCTTATAAGAACAATAACAATCAAACCCTATAATATATCTTTCGATAGAAAATGGTTTTTTTTATTTGACCAATGGGCCACCTTATCTTTCCAATTTGGTTCAGTTGGCCCAATAACAAATGACATTTTTCCTCCACCCATTTCATTTGCCTTTCTTATGATAACAGGTAAGAGGCCCACGATTGAAAGATACGGTGGACGTTGCAGCATTGAAGCCATGCACGCTCAATCTCATTGAGGGTAATCAACCATTTTATTACTGCCACGTGTTACTACCCCGCGATCTTACACCTAAATGACATTTTTATCCTCGCCTTTTTCATTTATTACATAACAGAGGACTACGACGTTGAAACCGCCACAGCACATGTCAGACGACTGTTGGACATCATTGCCTGCACGACGTCGTTTGGTCCGTCGTCGGTGGTCAAGGAGGATTTTGGCATTAATGTGCCGGAAACCAAGACCGGAAAGAAGACGAGCAAATCACAACAAACCAATAAGCGGTCCTCGAGTCTGCCGACTTTGACTCCTCCATCGCAACAGCCGCAGTCGAAAGATGTCTCCGTGGATGGAGAGGGAGAGCTGAGCAATTCGTGTCCCAAGCTTGGTAGCTTTTACGAATTCTTCTCCCTCTCTCACCTCACTCCTCCTATCCAGTGTAAGTCTGTTTGCACACTCGACGGCATACTTGGATCTTTCAACAAAACTGAGACAATTTCATCTAATGATTATCGTTCATACACATAAATATACAGTACTCAATTTGCTATAATTTTTGGTCTATTCCTCCGTGCTGACATTAACATTAACATTCTATCGTAAATTCGTTTGCAGATGTAAGGAGGGCAACACGGCAAAATGAAGATGACATTTTAATTGATGATCATCTGTTCTCGCTTGAAGTAAGAAAATCCTTCAACAGTTTATTATTTCTTTTGTAAAACATGTGTTATTTCTTTACATTCCTGAGGACTTAAACTTTATGGTAAAGGTGAAGTTGTGCCATGGAAAACCTGCCCATATAGAAGTCTATCGAAAAGGATTTTGCAGCATCGGGAAGCAACGAATTTTATGTCACAACCTTGTTGATTTGTTGCGGCGACTTAGCAGAGCATTTGAGAATGTAAGTTTCTAAAGATATCATCTTTTGTATGTTACCTATTCCATATAGCCTTAATTTTGGTTGTTCCTATACTTGCCTATCATTTCAGGCTTATGAGGACCTCATTAAAGCATTTACAGAAAGGAATAAGGTACACTTGTGGAGTGGAAATAATGATTGATTAAGGTCAATTAGTGGACGTGTGTTTGTTGTTAACAGTTGTTTTAACTACTCCTACAGTTTGGAAATCTCCCGTATGGGTTCAGAGCCAATACATGGCTTATACCTCCTGTTGCAGCACAAGTGCCTTCAGTTTTCCCACCTCTTCCTGTAGAGGATGAAAGTTGGGGAGGAAATGGGGGTGGTCTGGGAAGGGATGGAAAAAGTGATTTGCATCCTTGGGCTAGTGAATTCATGTATGTTGCATCTATGTCTTGCAAAACTGTAGAAGATAGGCAGATTCGAGACAGGAAAGCTTTCCTATTGCATAGCTTATATGTCGATGTTGCCATCTTCAAAGCCATTTTAGCCATTCGACACATAATGGAAAACCCAAACATAAATCATTCTAATTTAAGTGGTGATGATGACATTATACATACGGAGAGCATCGGGGACTTGAGAATCAGAGTATTTAAGGATACTCCTGATGCTAGCTGCAAAATAGATACAAAGATTGATGGCTCGCAGGCAACTGGGGTGGAGAAAGAAAATTTGGTGGAGAGAAACCTACTGAAAGGGATCACTGCTGATGAGAACACTGCTGCTCATGTAAGATGATATTTCAATTCCAATCATCTTGATTTTATGTTCTTCTTTAATTTTTATTAATGTGTGGGTTTTTTGTTTGAAAACCAGGATATAGCTACTCTTGGTGTTGTGAATGTAAGGTATTGTGGTTATACTGCTGTCGTGAAAGTTGAGGAGAGAAAAGATGACAAGAAACATTCTCCATTGCCATACATTGAGCTTCTCGATCAGCCTGATGGAGGAGCATGCGCCCTCAATATCAACAGGTTTGTTTTTCTTCACCATTGGCATATATTACATTTGTGCCACTTTAATTCTCATCACTGTAAGCTTATTTCTTGTAGTTTGAGGTTGCTGCTACATAAAAAAACAAGTAGCATTCTTCCTAATCTGAAAAGATCTGAAGGCCAAGAGCTCGTTACTTCTCGAGTCCTTGTGGAGAAACTATTAAAGGAGAGTTTAATGAAGCTTCAGGAAGAGTGTGTTGAATGTGACAAGTTTACAAGATGGGAACTTGGAGCTTGCTGGATACAACATTTACAAGATCAACAGAAAACAGAAAAAGACAAGAAAGCTTCTACAGAAAAGGTGAAGGTTGAAGGGCTCGGGACATCTCTTCGATCTTTAAAAAACAAGAAAAAAGATTTGGAGGGGAGCACAAAAGTTGTTGACGTTGTGAATGGGGAAGTTGAGAATTCTGTGTTGGAATTTGCTGTAGAATCTCCCAACTCAGATGAAAATGAGAAGGCTTTAAAAAAATTGTTATCTGATGCTGCTTTTACTCGGCTTAAAGAGTCAGAAACTGGGCTCCACTGCAAGGTGGTGTTGCAATTAAAAGTATTATATATATATACATCTATTTCCATATTAACCTGATGCTTGTTATTTGCAGTCTTTGCTGGAGCTGATTAACCAATCTCAAAAATATTACAACGAAGTTGCTCTTCCAAAATTGGTAACTACATTGCATAGCTTAAAACATCATCTGATTAGGTTCCTAGTTAATGTAAGTGTGATAACTGACAGATTATTGCACTTGATCATTCATATGTAGGTTGCAGATTTTGGTTCTTTAGAACTATCACCAGTTGATGGACGAACTCTAACTGATTTTATGCACACACGAGGTCTCCGCATGCGTTCTTTAGGACAAGTGGTTAGTTATTATTCTTTTTCTTCCAATTGAATGGTATATGTAAGCTTAGAAGGCTTTTCAGTGACTAATGCTTGCTATTTCTGTGTTTGAGCAGGTTAAGTTGTCAGAAAAATTATCACATGTGCAATCTCTATGTATACATGAGATGATAGTACGAGCTTTTAAGCACATTATACAGGCAGTGATTGCTGCTGTTTCTAAACCAGAGGAAATGGCTGCTGGAATTGCTGCTGCACTGAATCTGATGCTTGGGGTTCCTGAAAGTAAACAATCTTGTGTTGATTCTGTAACAAAGACATGGCTAGAAGTTTTCTTGAAGAAGCGATTTGACTGGGATCTTGCCAGCTTTAACTACACACAACTTAGAAAAATTGCTATACTACGTGGGTTATGCCATAAGGTGATTGATTCGTACATAACTGAATACACCCTTCCTCCCTCAAAGATATCATTGTAAACAAATTTATACTGTACTGATTTTCCAGGTTGGCATTGAGCTGGTTCCAAGAGATTTTGATATGAACTCTCCCCAGCCTTTCAAAAAGGAGGACATCATCAGCTTAGTACCAGTGCATAAGGTGATAAATTAACAGTTGATTGCTCATTGTCTTACAACCAGTCACTTCATACCCATATTGTTTCATGTATCGATTTATTGTATTATGTTGCAGCAAGCAGCATGCTCGTCTGCTGATGGACGCCAACTCCTGGAATCATCAAAAACTGCCCTCGACAAGGGAAAGTTGGAAGATGCGGTTAGCTATGGGACAAAGGTACGAGGGTTACATTCGGAACAAGTTTTTTTTTTTTTTAAATATATTAGCATCACCTAACATGTTATTGCTTATTCCTTCTTACAGGCTCTTGCAAAGCTAGTTGCGGTGTGTGGTCCCTATCACCGAATAACTGCAGGAGCTTACAGTCTCCTTGCTGTGGTTTTGTATCACACTGGGGACTTCAACCAGGTCTTGATTTGTTATTATTATTTATTAATATTAATACTATTTTGTTGTTTTGTCTGTCTTTCAAGATCTCAGATTGATGGATTGAATTGCAGGCCACAATCTACCAACAAAAAGCTTTGGACATCAATGAGAGAGAACTGGGATTAGATCATCCAGATACCATGAAAAGCTATGGGGATCTTGCTGTGTTCTACTATCGCCTTCAACATACAGAGTTGGCTCTCAAGTATGTTTTTTTTTGGCCCCTTTAATACAAATTGGTTTTCTTACCTACTAGAATATCAATATCAGGTATGTAAAACGAGCATTGTATTTGCTACATCTTACATGTGGCCCATCACATCCAAATACGGCTGCCACGTACATCAATGTAGCTATGATGGAGGAAGGTCTGGGAAATGTCCATGTCGCCCTCCGATATCTGCATAAAGCTCTCAAGTGCAACCAAACGTTACTTGGGCCAGACCATATCCAGGTTCCTTAAATTTTCCCCCCCATAAAAACAAGATCCTACATGGTGACAAGATTAACTATATATGTTCCTTTTGTTTTGCAGACTGCTGCAAGTTACCATGCAATCGCAATTGCTCTCTCTTTAATGGAAGCTTATCCTCTGAGTGTTCAACATGAACAAACAACCTTGCAGATACTACGCGCAAAACTTGGCCCAGATGATCTACGCACACAGGATGCTGCTGCTTGGCTCGAGTATTTTGAATCCAAGGCTCTTGAACAGCAAGAAGCTGCAAGAAATGGGACTCGGAAACCCGATGCATCCATAGCTAGCAAAGGCCATCTTAGGTATGTTTAAATAAATGATTTCCTTCAATTTATTTCAAACCAATTAATGATTTTTGTAAATGATGATGGGCAGTGTATCGGATTTGCTTGACTATATCAATCCAAGTCATGATGGACAAGGGACTGATGGTATGGGTTTAAAACGTAAAACCTATATCCATAAGGTATGCTCAATTACATTACATATTCTGATATTCATAACAAGGAAAGCGTATCTAAGTATACGACATGTTTCATTTCTAGTTGAAGGGAAAAAGCAACCAAACCTTGGAGGTGGCAAATGTTGACGAGGCATCTCCAAAAGATCTTCTGAAAGAAGTTACAGATGAAGAGAAACAAGAGGCAACCCTTGAACATGAGATTCAAGTGAATCACGAATCCACTTCTCTATCTGTTGAGTCGATACCACCAATCAAGGAAGAAAGTGTGGAAGAAACACCAGTTCCAGATGCTTCCAAGCTTCAGCCACCAGAGGAAACTGGTGCACAAAACCAAAACCCTAACCCTACCAGTAATGAAGGAGGAGGAGAAGAAGGGTGGCAAGCGGTTCAAAGGCCAAGATCAGCAGGTTCATATGGACGTCGGCTAAGACAGAGGAAAGCAGCAGCGGGTCTCAACAAGGCTTACGGCTATCAAAAGAAAGGTCTACTTCATGAGTCTGAAAATGGAATTGGAAGGTATCACTTTGTAAAGAAACGAGTGATGTCTCCTTCAACTTATGTTGACTACCACACTGCAACTCCTAATCATAAATTTGGGCGTAGAATTGTCAAAGGTTTGACATACAGAGTTAAGTCCTCGGTGCTTGTACCTGTGGAAGAAACTACTTCTAATTCTTCGTCATCTGAACAAACAACAAAAGAAGTATCAGTAGGACATGTACAACAAACACAGAGAAGATCCATTGTTAGCATCGGAAAATCTCCTTCTTACAAAGAAGTAGCCTTGGCCCCACCAGGTTCCATTTCTCTGTTGCAGGTCAGGGACAGGGATGATGACGTTATTCCTGATGATAAGGAAATCGATAATGGTAAGCACGAGGAATCTGTTGTTAAAGAAGCAGAAGAAGAGATTTCTGAGAAAGTGGATACGAAAGATGAAACAAAAGAAACTCATTTAGGAGATGATGTGTTACCTGCAATTTCAGATGTGGTGGAGGTTGATAAGGTAATAGACAAAAGTGTAATAATCGACATGCCAATTCCAATTGTTCCCTCCAATGCGAGTATAGAGATAGAGACAGAGACAGAAAATGTAAAACCAAATCAAAGTCAAGAAGCCCCAAACAAGAGGTTGTCTGCATCCGCTACTCCATTTAACCCATCGCCACCTGCTGTTCGTGTTGCACCAATGCCCATGAACATCGCTCTACCTCCTCCTGGGCCCACCCCATGGCAAATGAATATGACTCTTCACCCAAGACCACCTTCTTCGCCTCACTCACCCTACCCTACACCTCCACCTACAGGCACCCCCAATATGATGCACCCACACCCATTGCCTCTTATGTACTCTCCTCCATATACACAAGCTCCATCGTTATCATTACCCATGCCCATACCCAACACTAACACTACATATCCTGTAACCACCGGTCCCTTTCATCCCAATCATTTCGCATGGCAATGTAATATGGGCGCTAATGGGTTACAATATGTTACTGGGCCCGTTTGGTCAAACTGCCATCCAATGGAATTCTCCATCTCCCCACCAGCAGTAAGGCCGATTTCTGATCCAAACATGGAGACCAAGCAGGTGTTTGATGGAACTTTTCCTTCTCCTCCTAGTTTATTGGAGGTTAACAATGTGGATGAAACTAAGCAAGAAGTGAGTCTTGAGAAATCTAATGACATTGTAGGGGTTCAAAATGGTTCAAATCATGGCCAAAGGGTTGAGAATGAGAAGACTTTTAATATATTGATAAGGGGGAGAAGAAACCGAAAACAGACTTTGAGGATGCCCATTAGTCTGCTCAACAAGCCGTATAACTCTCAGTCTTTCAAAGTCATATATAGCAGAGTCATTAGAGGAAGTGAAGCTCCAAAGTCTAGCACCAACCTTTCTTCTCAACCTACTGCTACTGCTACATAATGGTGGGATACGCATGATTACAAAGTGTAGTTCCATAGTTTTGCCACGTAGACACAGATCATGCAGTTTTTAGGTATCAACTTACATGGATCTCCAATCATCACTTGAAAAAGTTACAGGTTAGTTTAATAACTGCATGTTATTGCCATCTTGTTTCTTTCCTTGACTTGAATAAAGAATAAAAATGTAGTTGTCCATCTTGGTTACATTTTGTTTTCACTCTCATGGTTTTCAGGTTTCAAAACCAGATAGGGTTTGCAGTCAGTCAGTCATACTTGGGATTTCAGAGATGTTGAATAATGGCAAGGACACAACACAGAAGTTTAAGAAATTTTGGATTATTGGTGCATATCATTACAAGACTAATTAATTGGGTGGTTATCCCATTGCCATGATGATTAAATTGGATTTGATTGTACATGATACCATTTTTGTTCAAACTGAGTTTGATTTAGACATACAAAATCCCCAAGTAAAAAATGTTGCTGGTACTGATACTTATAATAGAACCAATTCTTAGTCCATGCTATATTGTCTATCACTCGGTAATTTATGCTTCTATTAGGATCTAATTGGACTTTGATTATTGAGTCTGACTCTAAAGCTTAACAACTAAATAACATAGCTTCATATAGTTGTTTAAAGTAGACATGCTAATATAAAGTATACAATAACACAAAGCATACAAAAAGGTAAAATCCATCCCTGAAACACAACATAATGTGTGTCTTTGATTATTAAGTCCGACTTTGATTATCTAACCGGACTTTGATTATTGAGTCTGACTCTAAAGCTTAACAACTAAATATCATAGCTTCATATAGTTGTTTAAAGTAGACATGCTAATATAAAGTATACAACAACACAAAGCATACAAAAAGGTAAAATCCCTCCCTGGAACATAACATAATGAATACAACTTGTGGCACACCCTCCACTTCAATCTCAACATCCTTAACCACACACTAACCTGGTGAATGCTACGGTTGCTCCGCAGTCTCACATCATTTCCACAACCACACACTAACTTGATGAATGCTACGGCTGCTCCGCAGTCTTACATCGCTCCCACAACCGCATACTAACCAAAAACACTACAAGTCAAAAACCTTGTCCTACCAGACTCTATGAGTTGTTCGGGCCGTGCTTCGGACCCTAAAGTCAGGCAGAGAGGTTCTAACACAACCATCAACCCGAACCTAGCCATGAATCTATATCATTTGCTTTGATTCTCGCCACTAACCAATAAACCATATGCATTGCTTAACCCTAAACCCTCTCACAACCAAAGTTGGCTCTCTAGTTGACTTAGGACGATACCAAGATGATTGACCTTCCCAGTTAATCATCAATTAAACAATATCTTATCCGCACCACCAGATTAGCCGGTCAAAGCCCCGCTAGCCCAACGGTAGCTTTCCCCATACTCACAACCTGGCCTATCTTGGATTCTTCCCAAACTCAAGGAAACCTAGAGCTCCCTCTGGATACATCGATCCAAATCCCTAACATGGGTACAAATTCTAAAATAGCTCGCACTTGGAACTATCCCTGACAACCCCACATGATCATCCTTCACTTGGATTTATCTGCATTCTGATAATCTCATAATCATTGGGTTACCGAGCCATCCCATACTCTACCTATCCAACCACTACCATACTGAGCTTGATGAACTAAGATCCCATGACCAAACAATATAGGTGTCCACACCCAAATCCAAATGAAAAACTTTGCTATTCTTGACAAAAGATTTTCATATCCAAAAGCACCTTACCTGGATACAATTTCACATCCTTGTGCATTCCCATATGATGACAAAGAACCTGTAGACCCACAATTGGCGTAGATAGATAACCACTTCAATGCACTACTTACTACCGAAACAAAGTTGAGTCTGCTATAGACCTAAGCAGTTAATATCAGCGATTTCCAGGTGATTTCCAGATGGGATATCGATTATCGGTATTTTTCAAAATACAGGTGTCAAATATCGGTCCAAAATATCGGACCGCAAAAATCGGTGATACTTACCGATATTTACCGTTATTTCCAGGTGGGATATCGGTTAAGTAATTTTACTTAGTTTTTTTAGTGTTAAGTCATGGCCTTAAGTCTTATGGACTAACTTAACTGAACCTGTTATTATGTTAAGTACTTAATTGTTAGTTTTAGGTCATTGACTCATGTTTTAAGTATTAACCGATCTTATTGTTATGTTAATTGTTACATACTTAAGTGTTAACATGTTAGTTTCTATAGGTTTGATCATGCTGATGTGTTAAGTACATCATTCTTAAATGATTATGATGATATTAGAGTTTATGTGGATGATCTAGATAAAATAATTGGATGCCTTGGTTGATGTCGACTTGGAGGAAAATTTCATGGCTTACGTAAGATTATGTTTCAAACATTGACAGTTTTGAATTTTGACTTTTTATATTACTTTATATATGTTTTATGTTTATATATAGTAATTATGCATGATATAAAAATACCGATATCCCACCGCGATAACCTATATCCCAAATATCGGTCCTTGACCGATATATGATTTTAGACCGCTATAACTGCCTAGCTATAGACCATAATTCCACAATCCATCAATTCAGGGAAAACATACCAAGAAGCCATGATATACCATAAACAGAATATGACGATTGGTTGTCACGTCTACTGACCTCCAACTGATGTAAAATATTTATGTTATTTCAAAAAATTAAAGTCTTCTGTTGCCATATTTTTCAAGTTTATAAAACAATATTTGAACTAAATCCCAACAAATTCATGATTATCAGTAAAAGATAAGTTTTTGATCTAAATGTAACCTGATTTCGTATGATTTGAATTGAATATTGAAGATTTTAATAGAAAGAATCTCGATTTCGTCGTTATTCTTCGAATTAGCTTGATGATCGGAGGCAAAGTCGTCATCGACCTGAAAGTTAATGACGTCGTCGGAAGTTATAGAGCCCAGCCTAATGATCAAAGCAAGGTAGTTGACCAGCATTAGTAGCCCATTTATATTTTTTTAGACCTAAATACCCTTAATGAGCTTGATTGGTCACGGTTAGTCCTCGTCGTCCTCACCGAAAAAAGAGTCTTCGCCAGAACCAGACCTTATATATATATATATATATATACACACACACACACATAATAATAATAATAATAATAATAATAATAAATATAATATATTAAATAAAAGTAAAATAGTCATTTTATTAAGGAAAAATGACTTAAGAGGGTAAGGAAGTGTTGTCTTTGTTTACATTTAGTCACTTTTTTTTTGTACTTCATTTACCATTTAACTTGTTATTGTTGTTCAAAATATACCATTATGACAAGGATCATGGGTTTCCAGTGACTTTGGCATCTTCGGTCATCTTCTCCAACAAGTCTCCGACCAAACATAAATTTTCTGATGAACACTATGAATTTCCTGACCAATATGAACACATTCTAATTGTTAGGCTCAAACAATGAAAACACACACATAAATGCAAATTTGAAACCGGCTTTTTTTGGGTGTATTCATTGAAATAAATTTTAAATTAAGGGTTGAAGGACTCACAAGAATCTAGATCCACACCCAAAACACGAAAATGAAAACCCCTAAAATATAGGGTTCGTTCATTAGAAACAATTTCAGAAGAAAAGAACATCTTAATTTCGATTTCACCTTTTATTGAAGCTCTTTCCCAGAAGATAATTTCAAAAGTGTGTTGTGTGGGAAAATCGATTACATATGTTTTCGTTTTTGGAACTCATGAAATCAAGATTCAAAAACACAAAAAGAACAAAAACCTTTTGATTTTAAGGGTTTCGTTTCTGGGTTTTCAAGAACAAGAAGAAGTTGTTCGATCTTTATATGGGTTTAAGGGTTTTCGTTTATTGAACTCCAAGCTCAAGAACATAAAAAGAATTCAACACCTTCTACCTTTGTATGTGTTCTTGAAACTCGATTTTTTAGATGTATACTTGGAGCCTTTTTTTTGGGTTTTGATTTCTTAGAGATTTTTGTTGGTTATCATGCATTAGATCTAAACATCGATATGGAGTTAAAACACATATAAAAATCAAAATTTGAAACTTGAAAGAACAAAAAACAACATATTATTTGGTATGTGTGTTCTTAACCGGAAAGCTCATGTTTTCCGCCAGAGAAGATGACCGGAGATGTCAAAGTCACCGGAAACCGGTAATCCCCGATCATAATGGTATATTTTGAACAGCAATAACAAATTAAATGGTAAATTAAAATAAGATAAAATAAAATAAATCAAAAATAAAAAAAATAAAGGATGTAACGACTATCTGATTGGGAAAAAACATAGTGTTAGGAATTAAAAAAGGGAAATGACTTATGTGGGTAATTAACTATTGTCTCCGCATTCATTTAGTCACTTTCCTTTTTTGTATCCGATATATCATTAAACTTGTAGGTGTTTACAGAAACCATTGAAACCGGCTATTTAAGGTTTCCGGCAATTTCTTATCTCTGATGACTATCTGGTCATCTTCTCCGACGAGACTCCGGCAGAAATGAGTTTCCCGACTGATCATTGGGTCTCGACCGGATGACTTACAGCAACAGCAAGCAGCAAGAGGTGGTGATGGTGGTTTAACGGTGGCAAAACAGAGGTGGCTGGTGGGTTTCGATGATGGCAGGAGGATGTGGCAGGAGGCTTGCTGCCTGTGTCCCTTCTTCCTTTTTCTGGCAGCAAATCAACAGGAGGAAGAGAGGGGAGGGTGGAGAAAGCTAAGCAGCAACACCGATGGCGAGTGCCGCTTGGATGGCAGTCGAGAAAAGTCCGCCGGAAAAACTCATTTTTGCCGGAAAAGACGACCAGAAAGTCGTCGGAGATAAGAAATTGTTGGAAACCTTCAATAGTCGGTTTCAATGGTTTCTGTGAACATATAAAACAAATTAAATGTTAAATAAGATACAAAAAAAATAATAATAATAATAAATAATGAATAATAAAAAATAATCAAACGAGTCTAAAGATAACAATTAATTATCCTAATAAGTTATTTGCCCGATTTAAAAAAAAAAAACAAAAAAAAAACATATTTCCCTTTTAAAGGAATTATTCATGTAATTTAATCATTTGTTTGTTTGTTTGCGGTGGAAACCCACTGAAAAAGGGTCTTCCGTTGACTTAACGGTAACATCATTTTTCAGAAAGACCAAGCAAAACCCTCCAATCTTCGATCTTCGCACAGGAAAACGGTAAATTTTTCAGCCAAATTAATGTCGTCGTCGATAGTTTACGACGCTTTCCAATCGAAACGAATAAATGTAAGTTTCTCTTATGATGATGTTTATTGAGAAACACACGCAGGGGATTAATCTTAAATTGATCGATGCTAGGATTATCTGATAAAATACCTTTTTTAGCCTACTTTTTTTTTAAACATTAATCTATTATTTTGATTGATTTTGTGTTTCTTTTTGTCGGATTTTAAGTGTATTCGATTTAATAATGCTAATCTTTATGGTCATGCGTAGATGAATATTTGATATTTCATTATTGGAGTCGCTTTTTAATGGTGAAATGGTTAATGTATGATTATCATTTGAATGAATGATTTTTATACTCTGAAATTAGGTCATCTGTTACCAGCTCCACTGAATCAGTGTTGATATAATTGTGTGGCCTTTTGTTAATTAAAAGATGATGTTTCCTTTTTTGTAATTGGTGTCGTTCATTCATTACCAGTTTCAATGAGGGTCTTTGTTTTTTCTAGTTATTTACAGGAATATAGCTCATCAGATCGGATGTGTGGTAGTAAATATTATCAAAAGCTGTTGGTCGGTTTGTAGGGTTGTTTGAGATTTCTTTTTGAATTTTGTAATGAGAAAAGTATTTGGTGATATAATATAGAAGAAGTTGAGAATATCGTTGTTGTTATCAATATCATGGGTTGTTTTTGTTCAACTCCTCCAAAGAGCTACAGAAAGTTACCTTCTTTTGATCCTGTTGCACTTGCTGCCGAAACCCCATGTAAGTTTTGCAAAATATTTTAATTTTTCATTTTCTGATCATCTTTTTAGCAATTCTTTAGTTGCTGTATTGATGGGCATTGGTAGAATTGCGTTGTAATAACTCAGAACGAGTTCAAGTGTGTTGCAGTTACTGAGAATGAGGTGGAGGCTCTATACGAGCTATTCTCGAAACTAAGCAGTTCTGTTGATGACGATGGGCTTATAGGGAAGGTACAATATATGTGTTGTTGGACTTGGAAGCTAAAGATAATATTCTCGATGCAAATAATTTTGTTTATATTTGGACAGGATGAATTCCACCTAGCATTATTCAGGGATTATGATAAACAAAACCTGTTTGCAGATCGGGCAAGTACTAATTAACTACTATTTCCAACGAAAAAAAAAAACCAACAACATCAAATGATGAATATAAATTTTGTTGGTTTTGTAGATATTTGATCTTTTTGACGTGAATAGGAGTGGGCATATTGACTTCAGCGAGTTTGTCCGTTCGTTGGGTGTATTTCATCCAAAAGCTCCTCAAGCAGACAAAATTTTGTGTGAGAATTAATTTTGCGTTTTTAATCTGCTTTCTTGGAAGACACGGTAGCTCGGATAAGAATGATTAGAAAGTGATATCAATCTTTTTTTGCAGATGCATTCAGATTATATGATCTAAGACGCACTGGCTTCATTGAACGCGAGGAGGTAACTTTAATTAACTCGGTATCTCTGTTTGCTGTGTGTTTATAGTTTTACCGCTTGAAAATGTTTTTTTTTTTTTTTTTTTTTTTTTTTTTTTTATGGAAAGCAGTTGAAAGAGATGGTTTCGGCCCTTCTTAATGAATCTGATCTTGATCTATCAGATGATATAATCGAATCAATGGTAGATAAGGTAATAAATAATTGGTTGTTTGGAAACCTCAACTCAACAGTCGACAGTCACCAGTCAACAAGACACTTGGGTTGTGAATTGTGATGGCTGTATGTTTGTATGTTTGTTTGTTATTCAGACATTTACAGAAGCAGATACCAAAGGCGATGGTCGGATTGACCAAGAGGAATGGAAAGAATATGTAGACAAGAACCCTTCATTGTTGAAGAACATGACTCTTCCTCATTTAATGTAAGCCATACATACATACATACATACAACTTTGATCTTTGGTCTTCATTTCATAATTATTATTATTATTATTAAAATTCAGGGACATAACCTTGAGGTTTCCAAGCTTTGTGATGACCAGCCAGGTAGAGGAGTCCCACACAACAGACTAAGACAACATGATGATGTAAAAATTGTATGTAAGAATGAAAGAGGGGTCTTTTTTCAAGATTTGGTTTAGCACATGAGGCCTCCTTTTATTGCTTCCGCTTCCGGTTTACATAAAAACCTTGGATTTATGATTCTGGAGAAAATGATGATTGTGGAATGACGATGGGTAAAAGACTTTTTTTGTATGTATGTAGTTAAAGTTTGTTTCTTACCAATGAACGAATGGGTAAAAGACTTATTTATCCAAAGAAACCAAATATATCCAACATTAATGCGAAAAAGCAAACCCAAAGAGATATCAAATATTTGCAAACGCAACAAACAATAAACAGACATTTACATGGTTCTACAATCTGACAGAGTAAGACATATACATACGTCGATCAATAATTAAACGGAGGTTACAAGATCATTTATAAATGAACAACCGGCAATCTACAACTTTGACAAGGGATGACTTAATTTAAGTTGAATAGAGTGGCAACTAGGGTAGAAACTATATATATTCAATTAAATTCTTAAAAAAATCCAAAACTTTTCACTACACATTCTATTCAACCTTTGAATGCTGTTTCAACTCCACATTCTCTCTCCTCTATATTATATTCAAATTTATTCTATTAAACTATAATTTTTTTTTTGAAACGGCAAATCTAATTTACTCGTAAACTACACCTTAAATTCACTTATGTCCAGGGCAGGACTTGAACCCTCAACCTCAAGAAGGGAGGGCAACACCAAATATCGTTGGGCTAGAAGCTCTTTGATATTAAACTCTCATTAAACTCCTATTGTAGATGGCCTAAGGCTGTTGGGTGTGAAGTGCAGTTTGGAACCGCATTGGTGCCACCTGGACCACAAACACCGCCCCCAGGGTGCGGTTTCCTGCAGCCAAAACCGCAGTGTGGCTAGAAATGACTGCGATTGTGATTGGTTGCTCCAACTTTTGACTGTTGAACGGTCCTTGCGTCCGAATTTATTTATTTTAACTTTACAATTTTTTACTCCACATTCAACCAAAATCCTTACACTTTTACTCTCTTTTCCTCCATTTTTTTTGAAAATGTCATCTTCCAAACGCACCAGCAAAGAAAAAACACCATTTAGAAACACCATAACCCTAATACCTTCATTTGATCAACCGATTTTTTTCACTTCCGTATTACCACTACGGCAATATGCTTCCATATTTTCCACGACCAGCACAACCACTATCACAAACACCACCACTACCACAAACACTACCACAACCCGACATAGATTTTAATCCATTTGATTTTTTATCTCAACCCGAGTTTGTTCAACAAACACAAACACAACCAGAAACGGTCGTTTCTGATTCCGAACCGGAATTCGTTACAGAAACTCAACTCACTCGAGCAGCAACTAAAAGAAAAGAGAAGGCGGAAGCTAAATGTTGGGAACACCTAGAAGTGTTAGTGTTAGCACAATCTTGGATCGATATTTCAGAAGATGTGAAGGTTGGAAAAGACCAAAAGCATGATCGCTTTTGGATTCGCGTTTTACATAGATTCCATAAAGGAATAAACCTTAGAGAATACCGTTCAAAACATCAAGTGTACTCCAAATGAGGGAAGATGAACAAGGAAATCATATTCTTTAATGATTTGTATAACAACATGAAACGTCAATGAAAAATTGGAGAAAGCGATGAAGTGATTTTGAAGAAAGCGTTGAAAGTGTATCAAAAAGAAAATCTGAAGGCTTTCAAGTTTCTTGAAGTTTGGAATTTTGTGAAAGATACCAATAAATGGAAAGTAGTAAAACATCAGATGAGCATATTGAAAGTGGTTCAAAACACAGCAGAACATTTGAGTCCGACCACATTACATCAGGTGCTTGTGTTCAATTTGATCTGAACGAAGATGAACCTGTTCTAATTTCACCACCTTCCCGACCAATGGGAAGAGACAAAGCAAAAAGCAAAGGCAAAGCGTCGAATTCAGATGAGTTGAAAGAAATAGGGGCCGACATGAATGGTATAAAAGATAGAATGGACAAGATTTTATAAATTGCTTCTGAAAGAGAGTTTCGGAAACAAAGGGAGAGTGACATGCGATTACTAGCGATGGATACATCGAATATGACCGAGGACGAGCTTCAAGTTATTTTGGCGATGAAGGAGGAAGTGAAAACAAGTTACGTATATCGTGGCTAATTTCTAGTTTTTTTTTAAGTTTTTAATCGTTTGGTGTGTTTTTTTTTTAATTAAGTTGTAGGATTTATGTTTTTAATATGCCTTTCTAAATTTATAGGTTTTTTTTTAAGTTAAGTAGTGTATGGCATTTGTATTTTTAGTTAATGAAATATTATCTTTTTAAAATTATGTTTTTTTGTTAAAAAAAAGTTTTATTAAATTAAAATAGCTAAAAAAAGAGAATAAAAGTATGACATCACTCCGTTGGTGTGGCAAGAAACCACACTAGTGTGGTAAAAAATGACGTAGCGCTTATGTGGTGGTGAAGGGAGTGCGGTTTCAGTGGCACCACTCCCTTCAATCTGATGTCCATCATTGTGTTATTCAACACATTCAGTGTTGAATAGGGAAGGTGGAAGTTCAACAAAACATTTGTAATTCCAAAAGTCCGACAAGTGCCACACAATCAGTGCCCATAGCACAACATCAAACATGTAGTGGAGGTCGATTGTCTCCAAAGATTATAAGGGTCATGAAATGGTAACATTGCATATCTACAATCAGTGGCGGAGCTAAATGGGGCGTTAGGGGTACTACAGTACCCCTAAAAATTGTTATATATATATATATATATATATATATATATATATATATATAATATTTTTTGTAAACATGTTTCAGGTAATTGTACCCCAACTAAAGAGATTATAACATGTTGTTTAATGCTCGATATCTGATAACTATATATAATATATATTAACAATGTTTGTACCCCATATCAAAATTCTTAGTTCCGCCACTGTCTACAGCCCCCGCCCAAAAAGAAAAAACACACATAATGGAATAAACGCATTCCCAACACAATAGCATAAATGTTACCTTGAGCTTCGACATTTGCACTATGTGCCAAATCGTTGGATCAAACAAAGGACATACCTTAAGAACCTAAATCAATCTTCAATGAAGCCCAATATATACAACCAACCATCCCTCCCTCGGATATCTTCTACCAAAATGTCTTTCCACCCTTATATATATATATATATATATATATATATATATATATATATATATATATATATATATATATATATATATATATATATATATATATAGGGTTTAGGTACTAAACCTCTTGAAAATACATTGTTTTACTATATAAAGATTACGGTTAATGGATTCACGATTAATACTTCACAATGTAAATTCAAGATCGATACAATAGGGTTTAGGGTTTAGAGTTTAGGGTTTAGGGTTTAGCATTTAGGTTTATGTTTAGGGTTTAGGGTTAAGGTTTAGGGTTTAGGGTTAGGGTTTAGGATTTAGGGTTTAGGGTTTAGTGTTTAGTGTTTAGATATAGGTTTAGGGTTTAGTAATGTTCACTTAGATGAAGTAATAAACGATAATTGAGGAAAGAAAACGGAGATGATAAAACGATAATGAAAGAAATAAATGTTGTGGAGAATGATATATTTACCAAGTGAAACCAAACCGGATATATTTAGCATGTTAAAACGACATATTTTAGAGGTTTAGTACCTAAGCTTAGGTGGGGTTGTAATGTATATTCCCTATCCCTATATATATATATATATATATATATATATATATATATATATATATATATATAAATAAAGGTTCAAACGAGAAAAAAAAAATATTAAAAACCCATTTTGATTTATAATTAAGGATATATTTATTATTTTTCAAATACATATTTATAAATTTTAAAAATGTCATTTTCGTCACTAAAAACATAATGGCATGATTGTAATTAACAAAAAATCTTATCCTATTTTCCGAAACAATAATCAGATCTTGAAATCCATATCTACATTTGAATCATTCTTTCATAATTCTCAAAAATATAATTCTCTCCCTTTCCTTCCTCCTTCTACCACCGATAGCCTTTTGTCATCGTTGCCGCCTCTGATGTCAGCCCCACCACCGGCTCGCCAGAATCTAAGTCGGCACCACCGGTGTCGCCATCAGATATGTTATTGTTACTCCACATGCACTAGATTTACCACTATCGTTATCCTCTTACATCTCGAGATCTGTTGATTTTTTATGTTAACATCCACCAACGACCATGACTGCAAAATCATCGACATGTTAGGCCAGATCACGAGCTCCAACGAGAGTTGTGGACAAATCTACAAGCATCGGTGAGTGGTAAGTCCAGATCTACGAGCTCTGGTGAATCGCGATGCCAGATCTACGAGCTCCGATGAGCGGAAATATCTGATCTAGGAGCTCTAACGAGCCGCGATCATCCATCACTATCGTCTCTTTTCAGATCTACTTCGTCTCATCTTTAACCACCTTGTTCATTTCCGACGACCATCCCCACCGCTCGCCACTCATAGGTACCCGGAGAAGAAGCAACTTCATATATGTTGCCGGAGAGGGAGTCATTTGATGGTGGTTTACTGGTGATAGTAAGTGACCAAACTATAGCTTTTATTTTTAAAAAAAGAAGATAGTTTGTAATATTTTAATATTTTCTTTTAACTTTATCAATGGTATTATGTTATGGGTAGATACTAAGCAACTTACATTCATATGTGTTTGATTTCTATTATTACAACTACACTAGTCCATTAAAAGCATTATTAATTAATCAAGACATGGCATGCGAAATTAACTATTTCTCTTTACCTACTTTTGATAGATAATACGTGCTTCACATTTTATTTCGTTACTTTTGCTTTATATATAATTTTTAATTTTATTATTTGTTTGTTTCAATTTTACTATTTTAAATCTTAAAATTTAAACTATTAATTATACTTTTGAGTTGACTAAATTGCAAAATTAGTACTTGTGGTTATCGAAAAAATGTGGATAGAATCCAAAAAATTGTCAACTTGCACCATTGGTTCAAAATCGAATTCTTTTTGTGGTTTTTGTCCCTAGAAAAGTTCAAATGATTTTTTTACCCTTTTAATTTTATTTTTGAATTTCTTTACTCTTTTTTAAAATTTAAGAAAATGAAAAAGAAAAAAGAAAATGGCCCACCCTCGCCATATTTACCCTTCTCTCTCTCTCTCTTTCTCTCTCTCTACATCCATCTTCCCTATCTATCCCGTTGTTTCTGCCCTAAATCCCCAATTTGGAACATGATACCATGTCGTTCTCTTCACAACTTCTTCACCTAATCACAAACCAAAACATACTGAAATCAGA